TGTAAGTTGTTAAAATTCTTTCACATGGTTACACTGGCAACATTCATTGTCGTTTAGAGCTTCTGATTAAGAAAGAACAGATAATCTTGGGCCATTAAGAAAGAATAGATAATATTAGGCCACTCCCTACAGCCCCAGTTTTTGTGGTTTTTTTTTTTTATTGAAATTTCCTATTGCTATTAAATAAAGTAATCATTACTTGCTATTTTCAAACCTCAAAGACCTCTCATCAAATTAATACAATCAAATACCACTAGAGAATAAGGGGATACATAATTTACCCACTTAGTCATGGAAGTTATAACCAAACAAGAAAGACAGAGACAGCAAAGGCAGATCTCAATTTTCCCAATAGATGTGACTAATGTAATCCTCAAATTTCAGCGCTCCCTACTCCAGCTGGATATGCCCCTCTCTACAGGATGGGTGTGAGTCCTGCTCAGGACAGAGAGGCAAGGAAGAGTACAGGACCTTCTGTCTTACTTTATAGTGGGCATCGAAAGGACAGTTGATCATCTCTGGCATGGGGAGGGAAAGTGACCCACTATCTGAGTGGCATATGGCCAGTGCCCAGCAAGCTTCCAGCATCTTCCTTCAGGGACTTGGAGACAGGCAGAAACTTCTGCCATCAATTCCCTAGAAGTAAATATGAGAGAGAGAGAGAGAGAGAGAGAGAGAGAGAGAGAGAGAGAGAGAGAGAGAGAGAGAGAGAGAGAGAGAGAATATGTTTTAATCCTGCCCCCCAACAAGCATTTTCTCCAAAATTTTACTTGTGACTTTTGTACATAGAAACCCCTAAAAAAATATAGGCATCAGTAATAATACTTTGTCTTCCCATCAAAATCCCCTATCACAGTTAAAAAGAATGCTCACATTAGATACTGTTCAGGCATAAACTTTTGGTTTATCTTTTTTTTAAATTTATATATATATATATATATACATATATATATATATATATATATTATTGATTTTTTTACAGAGAGGAAGAGAGAGAGATAGAGAGCTAGAAACGTTGATGAGAGAGAAACATCGACCAGCTGCCCCCTTCACACCCTCTACCGGGGATGTGCCTGCAACCAATGTACATGCCCCTGACTGGAATCGAACTTGGGACCTTTCAGTCCACAGACCGATGCTCTATCCACTGAGCAAAACCGGTTTTCGGCCAAACAAATGCTTTTAAAAGTTCATTTCAGTCCTATGATTCTACAATCCTACCTAATAAAAGAGTAACATGCAGATTGACCATCACTCCAACACACAAAATGGCTGCCCCCATGTGGACATAAGATGGCCAGCAGGGGAGGGCAGTTGGGAGGAACCAGGCCTGCAGGAGAGAGCAGTTGGGGGAGACCAGGCCTGTAGGGGAGGCAGTTAGGGGCAAACAAACAGGCAGGGGAGCAGTTAGGCATCAATCAGGCTGGCAGGGGAGTGGATAGGGGGTGATCAGGCTGGCAGGCAGAAGTGATTAGGGGCAATCAGGAAGGAAGGCAGACGAGCAGTTGGGAGCTAGCAGTCCTGGATTGTGAGAAGGATGTCTAACTGCCCATTTAGGTCTGATCCCAGTGAAATTGGGCTAAATAGGCAGTCAGGCATCCCTCAAGGGTCCCAGATTGGAGAAGGTGCAGGCTGGACTGAGAGACATCCCGCCCTCCACACCCACCCCCTCCGCCCCACCATGCACAAATTTCATACACCAGGCCTCTAGTTTTCATTATAAATTTATTATATGTTATTAATATACTTTCCATTTTTACAAACAATTACAAAGAAGTTTGAAATAGTGATTCATATAATTTCTGTCAAATAGTGATTTTACTGAGCTAAGAAATTAACCATAAAAAAATAGCACAAAATCTTTTTCATAATTGTAAAAGAGCATGATATCAATTTAGAGAAAAAACAAATACATAGACACTATCTCATAAAATATTATAGAATGAGCATTATCTTTATTTTTATACTGTATTTAATATTATTTATTAAAATGATATTATGTAATATTTTGCCACATTTAATTTGATGCTCAAAATTGGCAAATTATATTATGGATAACTAAAAGTGTGTCTTGCTATAGCTCCTTGTACTTGGGCAAAAGAGAAGTAGAATTTTCACCTAAAAATTACTCCAGATCCTTCTAAATAATTCTGGTTTTATACAAGTTTATTTTTTTATTATCTTAAAAATATTTTTATTTATTTCAGAGAGAAAGGAAGAGGAGAGAGAGATAGAAATATCAATGATGAGAGATAATCATTGATTGGCTGCCTCCTGCACATCCCACACTGGGGGATGAGCCTGCAACCCAGGCATGTGCTCTGACCAGGAATCAACCATGACCTCCTGATTCATAGGTTGCTGCTCAATCACTGAGCTATGCCAGCTGGGCTTTTATTTTATTTTTTTAAATATATATTATTGATTTTTTTACAGAGAGTAAGAGAGAGGGATAGAGAGTTAGAAACATCGATGAGAGAGAATCATTGATCAGCTACCTCTTGCACACCCCCTACTGGGGATGTGCCCATAACCAAGGTACATGCCCTTGACCGGAATCGAACCTGGAACCTTTCAGTCTGCAGGCCGACGCTCTATCCACTGAGCCAAACCGGTTTTGACTGTGAGCTTATTTTAATGCAATTCTAGATCAATGTATGTGTAATGGCTTTGCTTTTCTCATTTAAAACAACTTTTGAGTAACTAACAAATTTCTCTTGAGGGCATCTACCATAGCCTCTACAGTGAAAGTGTCTCTTGAAGAGTTCATCTATTTTGTTTTTTCCTGTTTTATTTCAAAGTCACTAAATTATTTTCCTTTTAGTTAAATATATTATTTTACTAAATACATCTGTGTATCCCATTATCCTTGAGAAAAACTATGGTTTCATAGTGTTATGGTCAAGCAGTCTCATGAGTTTGCTGGTAACACATAGTAAACTAATGGCTATTAATCCTAATGTAGGAGAGTCTTGTTTAGCTCCACACAACCTGGTGGAAGAGAAAGGCACCAAAAGGATGATAAGATGAGGAAGACTATGCAAAACAGGAAAACAATGATTAGCAGAAGGACATCTCCATAGGCCTCATCTATGGAGCTTCATTTGAATTTGAGTAATATAAGACTACTAGGGGCCTGGTGCGTGAAATTTGTGCTTGGGGGTGTGTGTTCCTCATCCCAGCCTGCACCCTCTCTAATCTGGGACCCCTTGAGGGATGTATGACTACCTGTTTAGGCCCGATTGCTCACTACTGCCCTTCCTTGCAGGTCTGGTCCCTCCCAACAGCTCTCCCCTGCTGGCTATCATGTGTCCACATGGAGGCAACCATCTTGTGTGTTGTAGTGATGGTCAATTTGCATGTTACTCTTTTATTAGATAGGATTAGATAGGATAGAGACCTGCTGCATGGGATGGGGCCAACTGGTTTGCCCTGAAGGGTGTCCCAAATCAGGGTGGGGGTACCCTTGGGGCAGGGGTGGCCTGGGCGAGGGGACTGTGGTGGTTTGCAGGCTGGCCATGTCCCCCGGTGACCCAAGCAGAGGCCCTAGTATCTGGGATTTATTTATCTTCTATAATTAAAACTTTGTAGCCTTGTATGTAGGCCTGGGCCCACCAGGGTGTGCAGAAAGCTTGGCTTCCTCCATTGCCAGGAAAACCCAAGCCTCCTGCTTTCTCTATGGCTATAGCCATCTTGGTTGGGTTATTTTGCACACTCACTCCTGATTGGCTGGTGTGTGTGGCTTGTGGGTGTAGCAGATTAATTGGCATATAACTCTTATATTACATAGGATCACTAGCTTTTTCATACACTGTCTTACTTTCCAAAATATACTACTATCTACTGTCTAATCACAATTTGTACAAATTTCTTCAGACAGAATAGTATATCAATATTTAAATAATTTATAAAATAATGTCATGTATTGAACTTTTTAGTTCAAAATTATTTTTATAAGAGATAAATATTTTACTAAATAATGTTTTCACTAGGGAGAAATTTTTAAAGCATTTTTTCCATATTTTTGTATAAGAAGTTTAAATATTCTCTACGTTGTGTTTTGTATCTTGTAACTTGCTAGAAAATAGAACATCATTCTAGTGTTGCTTTTTTGTTGGAAGGTCCACAAATGCTCAGAGCTTGACTTCCCCTACAGGCTTAGAAATGAAAATGTCAAATTATATAGTAACTATTATATTAATAATACAAATGTAAACTAAATCTAAGGCTCACTTAAATTTTATCCCACAAATATTTTAATTATGGAAAAGTTATTAGACACCATTACACCCTTGCCAGTTTAAACCACTTTCTTTTCAAGAACTAATATTTTTCATAATCTATTTAATTGAATCATAATGCACTATATTTTTATAGCAGCCCCATGTAACATAGTCATTACTTTTTATCATAGTCTGTTTCCAGTTCATGCCAACTAAAATGTAAATCTCATGTTATTATTACCAAAGGTTCAAATGATATAAAATGTGAAAATTCCATGGGATTCATTGCATGCTAATATAGTTTAACCTTTGAAAGTTTCAGTATAATATTAGATGTTATTAATCTTGATAAACTGATTTGAATAACTTTGATCATATTAGTTTTTAAGATTTTAATAGCATGGTTCCTTGTTGCTATGAAGATGACCTCTAGGGAAATCATCTGACTTTTGGGAATTCAAATTTCAGTGGTCAGTATGAGGTATCCCCAGGTAACACCTAATATAGTATTTTTGTTAACCAACCCTTTACTAAAACTGATGTCTAGACTTTAGATATAGGGACACTATAAAACAACAAAGTTTTGGTGGTATAATCATGTTACATTATAGAACTTCAAGTATCAGTGGCCTGGATTTGCTTTGTTTTAATCAAAACAGCCTCAGGAACCAGCATTGCAAGAACTTTAGGGGACAGTAGGACCTTTCTTTCCTCTTACTTTTTGTTTCTTACCAGCAAAACCCTGGAAAGCTAAAGGCTTTTTCTTCCCCTTCACAGGTTTGGGATGAAAATCTTGCCAAATCTGCTGAGGCTTGGGCTGCCACCTGCATTTGGGAACATGGACCTTCTTACTTACTGAGATTTTTGGGCCAAAACCTCTCTGTGCGAACTGGAAGGTAGGAAGTGGCTTCCCTGCACCCTTTACAGCCACACAACGTCATTGCTCACAGGCTCCAAGGCGGAGTGACACCAATTTCGAGTCGAGTCAGCAAATATTGTTTACTATATGCCAGGCACAGAGGCTGGACCCCTGGCTATTTTAGATATCTCCAAGGAGTATTTTATTGGATAAAGGGACCTAATACAACTAGTTTCCCATTTCACCCTTGAAGCATCCTCCTTTAGCTTTGAAAGGATCCGCATGTGCTATACCCTCTATCCTGTCTCTTCTACCTCAAGAAAATCCCAACAGTGGCAGAAGCCATTCTTGTGTGTCTTCAACTTTCCTGCGGTTGCATAAATCTGTTATAAAAATGATACATGTTCACATATATAAGCATACACGCATATGTATATACATACCTATCTGCAAGCATATGCAGCTATGGAAAAGCTGTTCCCAGTAATGGGATAATTTTCCTACCACTGTAGAATGTCATCACACAACATTCAAAAGGCCCAGTCTCTTGCATGTGGGGGAAGAAAATCAGGTGTCCTATTTTTAAAATTAAAGTGATATAAGTTTAAGGGAAAAAAACACCACACTGAGTTCTTGTATCGCGACTACTTCTAATATATCAACTCTTAAATGCGTGTAAGATTCTGATAGAAGAAATTTTTGGCATAGATAAAACAAGATAAAATGATAAGTCCTGAAATACCTGCATGTCTGTTTTTGGAACCATCAGGCGTATACTTATGCAAATATAGAATCACTTGATCCAGCTCTGGGCTTTCTTATGTTGGTCCTACTTGAAGGAAGAGAGGATTCTACAAGGTAGTGATGATAATTGTGAGGGGTGGGTATGCTCTTGATTCATCGTGAATAATCTGCATAATGAAAAGCTTACAATGTAACAGGGGTCTGCTGTGTATCCCCACTGCCTTGCTCTAAGCTCTCGTCGTTTATCTTGATGTCTAGATATCGCTCCATTCTCCAGTTGGTCAAGCCTTGGTACGATGAAGTGAAAGACTACGCCTTTCCGTATCCCCAGGACTGCAACCCCAGATGTCCTATGAGATGTTTTGGCCCCATGTGTACACATTATACACAGGTGATCTCAACTGTCTTGTTCATTTTTGGGGTCATACTTTTAAAAAATGGTCTTAACTATTTTTTTTAAAATTTATCTTTATTGTGGAAAGTATAACAGATGCACCCTTTTCTCCTCCACTGACCCCTCCTCCCCACTCTTGCCCCCTCCCCAGCCCTTCACAGCACAACGGTCTGTGTCCATGGGTTATGCACATTTGCCTATAAATTTTCTGTTTAATCTCTTCCCCACCACTCCTTCTCTCTAAGAATGCTCAATCTGTTGCATGCTTCCATGTCTCTGGATCTATTTTCGTTAGCATGCATGTTCTTAGCTCTGACTCAGTAACGGTATATTGGTTTATTTTCGCAGATGGTTTGGGCCACCTCCAATCGGATCGGATGTGCAATTCATACTTGCCAAAACATGAATGTGTGGGGAACTGTGTGGCGCCGTGCAGTGTACCTGGTGTGCAACTATGCCCCAAAGTAAGTCCCAGGTGGCCTGCTGCTTCCAGAACCTTTGGTGATTATTCAATATCTTCAGTCTGTTGAGTATTTCTCTTTCTTTCTCTTTCTTTCTTTCTTTCTTTCTTTCTTTCTTTCTTTCTTTCTTTCTTTCTTTCTTTCTTTTCTTTCTTTCTTTCTTTCTTTTTAATGTGCCTCTTGTTACCTTAATGAGATGACTTTTTTTTTTTAAATTGATTTCAGAGAGGAAGGAACAGGGAGTGAGAGAGAAACATCAATGATGAGAGAATCATTGATTGGCTGCCTACTGCATGCTGCCTACAACCTGGGCATGTGCCCTGAATCAAACCTGGGATCTTTCAGTCCACAGGCCTCTATCTACTGAGTCAGACCAGCTAGGGCAGTCTGCTGGATACTTTAATGAGAAAGAATTAAATACAAGGGCCTCTGGTCTTGAATTCTTTATTATTCCCATAAACCTGAAAAATGAGCTGAAAGGCTTCTTTGCACAAGGAAAAGGGTTCGGGGCCAAAGCTGGTGGCAGAACAATCCGAGTATGGAGATTCACTAAATTCCCCTCACACTCTTTCCTTTGTCATGGCGACTGTAAAATAAACTCTGTACTCCCAGGCTTTTGATAGCTACATAAAAAAGCATCAGAACACAATCTTCTTGGGAATTTATCAACACCATAATATTCCTACCTCTAAGTGCCAAGATGTCAACTTACTTTTTTCTCTAGGAAAGCAAAACAACCTCTTCTTCCATCTTTGTTGTAGGGGTAAAATTTAAAACTATAGTTTATTAATTCCATAGATGGCTAGGGAGGCATTCAATATCAGAAAGGAAGATTTTCAAGCTATGACTTCTTTTTCAATTGAGGCTTTGCCATGATCTAAATTTCAGTATTAAAAAAAGTACTCAGTAATTTCATCCTATGGCATACATAAAAATGTTGTGAAATTGATTGCAGTTTCTAAAATACGGACATATTTATGAACATTTTTGCAATAAATAAGCATGTGTTAACATTCGAGAAAATGCCTTCTTGATAACAATAACTCTTCAGCTGATAAAAGATTGCAGTATTTATGCATAAGTCTGTTCCCATTTGGAGTAAATACCAAAATGTGCAAAGGATTTATGACATTCTTGGTGTTTTCCAAAGTAAGTCCCAAAGATTTTCTCCAGCATTGCCAGTGTGGGGAGGGAATGAGAACATGCTTCACAAGCAGCTGCATTACTCATGTGTGTGGTAGTGTGCCAGTGTTTTTGCAGAGTTAGAGAAACAGCAATTTCCCCGATGGACCCCTCTCCACAATTATTAGAAGAGTAAGATTTGGAAAGTAGAATGTGTCTGCTTTATAAAAAGTATGGGACTGTGCATTTGGTTGATATTTTCAGTCTCACTCCTTATATTTTCCTGTTAGGCTTGTACCTTTGTTTCTGACACAAATAAACCAAGTATCCTCTTCAGATGATGAAAGGCATTTGTATTTTATTCATTTAACTTCTCTGTTTTGGGCCAAATGACTAGAATTTCTAATACTATCAATGAAAGATTTGATCATTTTATGGGTTTAAGAGATTAAGATACAGTGTTCATATGCTCTATTTGCTGTAATAAAAGACCGTTATTTTGAAACTTAGGCAATAAGGAAAGTTTTCAAATCCTGACTGATATGTGAATATGATTCTTCTAATGCCAGTATGAAGTTATCTCAAACCTAATAGTTTTTCAGGGGGGAGAAAGAGACAGAGACAGGGAGGGAAAATGTAATAACATGCACTAGGACTAAACAATAAAAGAATAAATAATAGTTTTATTAGTTGGCTGATTTACTATTGAATATAATTATTCTCTATTCAATAAAAATCTGTGACTCATATAAAAGTATATAACATAACATGTAATTATTACAGATAATAAAATTGTACTTCTAAATTCATGTTACTAAAATATGTGCTGTATAATTTCAAGAAGTATATAGAATAAAAAGAAAAATATCAAATTAAAATAGCATAATCTTGATAAAGATGCAGCTTGGGTAGAGATACCTAGAGAAATATGATTTTCAATAAAATGGGGGAACTTAGGACCAAGGAGGGAGCTGCACTCATCAGAGAACGGGTCCCCTCGGATGGTTCTGAGCAAGCTTACATCATCAGAGTTACACTTGAGGAAGCTTCTCTGGAGGTCAGAGTGTAGAATAGACTCGATACAGCCGAAACCGGTTTGACTCAGTGGATAGACCATCGGCTTGCGGACTGAAGGGTCCCAGGTTCGATTCCGGTCAAGGGCATGTACCTTGGTTGCGGGCACATCCTCAGTAAGGGGTGTGCAAGAGGCAGCTGATCGATAATTCTCTCTCATCGATGTTTCTAACTCTCTATCCCTCTGTCTTCCTCTCTGTAAAAAAATCAATAAAATATATATATATATATTTTTTAAAAGAATAAACTCTGTTTGGTGGACAGTTTTAGAATCTCATCTCAGGTTGTAATATGAATAGTTAATCAGCATGTTTTACATGTCCGTAGATAAATGTTTCGTAGATAAGTGTGAATTTTTAACTGGCTGATTTAAACTGATACCTTCACGCCCTATAGAGACAGGTTCCGAGTCCCTGCTTGGTCTCGTTCGGGTCTTAAAGACTCTGAGAGCCACCTGTCTCATGTGCTAGCCTCTCACCTACTGCCATCTGATCTTCTACCCTGACTTTTTATTACTGACAACCAGATGTTCTCCTGGACATCCCAGTGCCTTCACATTGTTGGCTATATTGCTATTTCCCAGTACACTGGTTACTAACCCAAGCTACCCAAATACATTTATTACTCTTTCCTCTGTAATTAAAGGACCTAAATAACAGTAAGGTAACTGTAGGTAACTCTTCTAAATAGTGAACTGGTGTATTATTGTGATACTGGCGATCAATACAGATAAAGAAAAATATTGAGAACACAAAGTAATTCAGTTAAATGTGTTTATTATAAAAAATGAATAGCACTACTATAAAAAGGTCTAGGAATGTATATATGGAAAAATGTTTTGAAATCACTTTTAATTGCTTCTGTGGGCTCTCATTCTCTTACTACAAAAATGGAGTTTTCGATATCTCATTTTATAAATAATGAGAATCTACAATATTTTACAACTTCAGGAACAAATTTTGTGAACATTTATTACTTTTTGTGTGTGTTTATGACAACTTTTTGTTCATTTAATCATTTCTAAGCCTCCCAGAAATGATGACATGCATAGGAAGTTGTCATAAGCACAAAAACAGTAATAAAGGTGTATATACTCATATATTTTTATTAACCTTAGAATCTTATTAGTGTGAGCTTTTTAAAAGTGAATCTGTACAGACTTATTCATATGCCTTTCAGCATAACGATTATTGCTTGTCTCATTTTTAAAAAATATATGTTGTTGTTTTTTTTGTTTGTTTGTTTTTGTTTTTTACAGAGTGGAAGGGAGAGGGATAGAGAGCTAGAAACATTGATGAGAATAACATCAACCAGCTGCCTCTTGCACACCCCCTAATGGGGATGTTTCCGCAACCAATGTACATGCCCTTGACCGGAATTGAACCTGGGACCTTTCAGTCCGCAGACCAACCTCTATCCACTGAGCCAAACCGGTTTCAGCTGCTTGTCTCATTTTTGATTCTTATAAGTATATTTCCAGTAGGACATGATCTCACTCATCTAGGGGAAATGGTGAACAACATAGACTGACAAACAAGAACAGACCCAGAGATAAGGGGCCATGGGTCAGACTGTTGCAACTCAAAGGAAGGGTGGGGATAAAAGGGAGAGATCAACCAAAGGACTTATGTGCACACATATGAGCCTAACCAGTGGTCAAGGACAATAGGGGGGTGGGAGTATGAGTGGGGGGGGGGATCGGAATTGGGGGTTGAGGACAAATATGTGATACTTTAATCAATAAAGAAATTAATTTTTTTTAAAAGTGAATCTGGCCTGTGTGCTCCGGGGATGGCTGTGGGAAAGAGACAGGTGTGGTGAATTGGAATGAGCATTAAGCCTGGTGTCAGATGACTAATTATGTCACTATTCATTGTAGTGAGTCACTTCTCACCTATAAACTAAGATACTATTAAGTCAGAGAGAAAGTGTTTTAAAAGTAAGATATATAAATAAGTTACCATATAAATAAGAAATGGATATAACTTACAGTGCCTTTCTAAAAATGACAAACTTCTCAAAAAAATCATCATGTCAATACATGTGATCGTGTGCTTGACAACAATAAAAAATTTTTATTCTCATCCCAGGATATTTTTCCATTGAATGTTTTAGAGAGAGCAGAAGGAAGAGAGGTGGAGGAAGAGAGAGAAAAACATCCATGTGAGACAGAGACATCGAGAGACACATTCATTGGTTGCTTCCTTCAGGAGCCTGACTGGGGCCAGGAATTGAACTAGAAACTGAGGTTGTGCCCTTGACCAGGAATTGAACCTGTGACCCTTTGATCAGCAGGCTGACACAACAATCTAACCACTGAGCAACCAGTCAGGGCAACAATAAATGAGTTAACATTAATGCTACCATTTTTTTTTCTTTTTCTTTTTTTTTTTCTCTAGGGGCAACTGGATTGGAGAAGCACCATATAAAGTAGGGGTACCATGTTCAGCTTGTCCTCCAAGTTACGGGGGATCCTGTACTGACAACCTTTGTTTTCCGGGAGTAACGTCAAACTACCTATATTGGTTCAAATAAGCTTACCGGCTCCTCCAGGAAGTTGAATGCTTTCTGGGAATCACAGGTCTATATATATATTGAGTTTTGCACATATTATACATATTTTATAACAATCTTGTTTTCCTTTTATTAGTCCTTGTGTATAAATCAGTGTTTGTCTAATATGTTTGTTTAATCTTTCGAGGTCATCAGAACATCCACTTCTATTTTCTGATCTCTAGCCCTAAATTAAAATATTGTATAGGTAGTAGTGATATTATCGATGCATCCACTTCTAAAACGTGCTTTCTAAAAGAATTATGTTATGTTCCTGCGGAATAAAAAACCTAAGGTATGTGTGTGCATATATAGACATACACATGCATATGCATTTATATGTCTATATATACACAAACATAATAGATAATGTAACACATTGATGATAATAATAATAATATGATTCAGTAGTAAACTGAAGGGAAACTTAAAATATTCTATTCAAAATAGATGTGAGGTGGTGGGGCATGTACAGCACCCACCTTTGTAATACCCACAAAATTACAGTTTGCAAAATAACCCTCAGTGATATCTGGCTATACTAAATTAACTAAGCAATCCAAGCTTTCATTCTGGAGACATTTTTTCTTACTTGGGTTTACGAAAGGTTATGCTCCAATTATGTGAGGTTCAAATCCTACCTTTTACTTAATCGCTTCTGGTTATGTTCTCAAAATGCAAAGATAATGAGATTTGGTTCCTGCCTTCAGAAGCTCACAAAAACATTTCAGGAAATAAGACAGCCCCATGATTTGTCTGTGCAGCTATTATTTTTTAAAGAGTTGATGACCATGTAGCTTTGCAGACATGAACACAATAGCAATAAGCCACACTGTGCCGTAGGTAAGGCTCCTGGTTAGCGTGAACGTTTAGCCACGGTGCTTGGAGCCAGAAGAGGCAGAGACAAATTAGCAACTGCCCAGAAGATTGGAGTGGACAGTTGTGCCTTTGGAAGGCAGAAAGCTAGACCCTAAGAATGGAAGCAGCCCAGGAGAAGTAAGATTTTGGAGGCAGGTATGAAAGTCACAAATACTCCAGTTGCAGAGCTTCGTGAGGTCTGTCAGCAGGAGGTAAAGATGCCAGAAAGAAACACCTGGGTACCAAGGATGCCACCACTGCTTCACTGTGATGGTGGGACTTTGGGACTCATATGAGACACCTCGGTTGCGTACCACAGACAGCAATGACTTGTTAAACAGCCCTCTTCAGAACGACTTTCTGAGGACAAGTTACCAGATTTTATTTCTATGTGCACGAATAGACTTCAGTTGAGTTCTCAATTAGGCTTGGCTGTGGAGCTCAACATTACTATGAAAACTTATCTCATGGGATTTTGGAAAGGTAACATTTCCTCATTCAGGAAATCGGTTTAAGAGAAAACTCAATTATCTGAGTGTGTGTGTGTGTGTGTGTGTGTGTGTGTGTGTGAAAGAGAGAGACAGAGACAGAGACAGAGAGAGAGACAGAGAGAGAGACAGAGACAGAGAGAGACAGAGAGAAGTGCTTAGGTTGTATAATACTTCCATAGAACTTCTGAGTAAGTATGTGTGTGTGTGTGTGTGTGTGTGTGTGTGTGTGTGTGTGTGTGTGAGAGAGAGAGAGAGAGAGAGAGAGAGAGAGAGAGAGAGAGAGAGAGAGAGGTGCTTAGGTTGTATAATACTTCCATAGAACTTCTGAGTAAGAAAACATGGTTAGTTCCAGAATGTAAGTAACAGGAGGAAGCTACTTGTTTAAAATTCCCCGCACACTTGCAGTTTCTCAGGGTGGGTGCATTGAGAGGATAGATAGTTAATTAAATCCATTCAATGCAGGAGAAATACCCATCTGGAGTTTTGATGTTCATGATGACACATAATTGGCCTGATTCCTTTTACAAACTGGATTTGATGACCAAATGTTTTGATATCCTATTACTCTGCTTCTGTGGGCACTATATAGACTTTATTAAAAATAGGTATTTTGGAGATTTAAATGAAAAATAGAAATAATTATATGATTCAGGCCCCAATTAGAATTTTATCTAACATGCAATAGGCAGTTGGAGAGAAATCTCATTGGTAGGATGTTGGCTTGATTTCTGTAGAAAGTGTTTTCCATCCCTGATTTTGCAGCACAGAAGTAGAAAAGCACTATTCAACCAAAGATGACTGTGCTTAGTTCCAATTCTGTTACTGGTTTACTCGTGTGGCTTGGTTTCTTAGCTCTAAAAATGAACAATGATATTTACTTCACGTTTCACAGAGGTTCTTAGGAAGATAAAATTATCATAGTAATAGAACTTATGAAGATTAAAATTATCATTAATGTCAAACTTTTCTTTAAGATAAAAGTAAGGTTTTTTGTGAGCTTTTCCTTGGCAGAAACTCTAATTCTTTGTATTTATCTCAGCTTCTCATTCAGTGGCTGTAATGCAATAAATGTTTCTATGAATGGGTTTTCAGCATTAACTAAAAACTCTAGAACTGCAACAATTTAGAGGAATCCCACCTTTCCATTTTTATTAAAACAAAAATGTCTTTAGTACAAAGCTTTGAATGCATCAAAAATCCAGGTGAATTTTCAGACATATCTTCATAGTCTTCAGATTAAGACTAGGGTCTACACACTTATAATGTACTCAGCAGTCTGTTCCAAATCGTGGCTAAGTTTATTTATAATTTAGCAACTCAGCTGAAAATGTAACGGGTATATTTGTTAGTCTATCTCTACTTTTTAAAGTCAGTAATATAATGTGGCCATGTAAAATTCCCGGGCCAAAGCAAATGAAAGTTTGCTAGTAGCCTGTCATATTTTTACAGCATGCAACGAAGGTGCTAGGATAACTATTTCTCACTGTAATTCCCAGAGGCAGAAAGGATCTGGGGATAAGCTATTTCATAAGAGCAGCTTTAAACAGTCAGTATTGAAGTTTTCATTTAAAAGATACAGTAATTAGCAAACATATTCTACAGTGTGGATCCTCTCTATGGTTTTCGTTTCCACCTTGTTTTGTAGGAAAAAGGTAAAAAATAAGTCTGTTACATTATGTATTTTTTGGCTTTCATGTCATCAAAAGACTGGGAAAATGATAAATTTTGCTATTAAACTGATGGATTTTTTTATAGAATTGTATATGGGCTCGGTAGCAATAGTCTTAATGTTCCTGGTTTTGACAGATAAACTTGCTTTTACCATGTGGCAGAACCAGAGATTATTATCCCTGTTGCTTCTGTCCAGCATCATCACTTCTTTGGGCCATCAGAGTGTCCCTACCAATTCATTTGGCAGGGAGATCAGACTCACTTGAAACCATGGAAACAGCCATTTGAGAGCTCCAGGCAGTTTTGGCACAGAGTTGACCAAACACATGGGCAAGTTCAACCAATACAATTTACTCTGAACATTTGATTTGAGACCATATATATGTACAGACACACACACACACACACACACACACACACACCCATGTGAATCAATTTATAATCTCTCCATAAGCAAATCTCATACACATTTCAGCCAGTTTGTGTTTTGTGTTCATCCCCTGCTTATTATCGGAATGATAGCTGAGCAGGCCATTTGAATGTGTCCATGGAGGGAAAGTGATGCTTAGCCTGAGGTCTATGTCCTCCACCGTATATAACAGCATTCCCCGTCCTGCAGTCTCCTAGGATGAAAATCTCGACATGGATGGAAGCCTTTATCTACTAAATCTAGAATTAGATTTCTACCAGTCTAGCATTATCATTGCTTACGTATGATTTTTTAATATTGCCATTATATGTATGGGAAAGACATGTTTAAACACACACAAAATGACTTTTTAAAAGTATGTCCTGGTGTAACTTTGACTTATGAGAGGCCAATCACAAACTTAGGAGGTTTAACAATGAACTGGCTAATGGTGCTGAAAGTGCATTACAAACACCAAAATTGTTACAATTTTGAGGTTTCTTTGCAATGAAAGTTTTTATTAGGTGTGAACTATCACTTATTTTGGTGCTAAATATATGGTGCTAAATGAATTGTTAGTGTTAATAGCTTTGGTAAGGCTCTTTTTAGTCATTATTGAAAGTGTTATCCATTCAATTACGATGTGGAAATAATAATAAAATCCTGTTAAATTAATCTTAACCAGAAACAGGCTGGTGAACTCTATTTTTAATCTAACAGCCCAAAAATTATTTTAGTGTTACAGAATGTAAATTTATTTTTCTGAATTTACTTTTCTGAAGTTACTAACTTTCTTTTAAGACATTTCTTAGCTTGGCAATGTCCAAATTCAAATATTGCCTGAAGGTTAAACACCTACACCAACCATACTGCAGGCGCTGGCGCCCTCTGGCGGTTGTAAAACCAAATTCTTGATGGGTTACTTGGCCTGAAACAAAAGCCCTTTCTTCTGTCCAATAAAAGTTTAAGCTGCATAATTTCATAATTTTCAGATACTCTTTAAATCAGACAGTATTTGAAAATGCTTGACTCTTTCGACATACTTTTCTAAGAGGATAAGAGCAATGCTGTATGTTGGTATCCATTTTGCTAAATAATAATGTTTTTCATGGTTTTCATGAGGTGCTTATTACAGTGTTGTTGTTGTTTTATTCTTTTTAACTAGGCATTATTAAAATATTTTTATTTGGTTTACATTTTATTTGGTTTACATTTTAAATACAATTAGAATTAAAATTAGAAAAAAGATTATAAGGGTGCTCCACTTTCAGAAGCAATGATTTATTTTTACTTTGCGGAGCGCATAAGATAAAAAGGAGGTAGGTTAAAAAATTAATTCCACAAAGGGAAGGATTATCTCCTCACCTTGACTTGTTGGTCTATAACGTGATAATGTTCTTTAAGCTGAACTACTGGGCTACTAATACAGTTTTAATATTCCATTCAAACTCTTTTTTTAGCCTAACAGGTGTTTAAAAATCACATCACCTATAACTAAATGGGCCATATTCTTAGGTAAACTTTCCGGTGAGGTATGTAATTGACTGACGTGATCATCTGTTTGGAAAGAGATGTTTCTTCAACTATGTTCACGTAACCTAATGAAGTACCCTTTGAGGCTGTTTTCCGAATTAGTATTTTCAAACTTATCTTAAAGCAACAGAACCCTTTCCATGACCTCAATGACACACTAGTACGGAGCTCTGACATTCAATACACACAAAAATGAATCTGCTTACCCCCCACACCTTCCCCAGTGCCTTGGAAGTTTCTTCCGAGAACCCCAGGATCCCATCAAACATAGAATAAAAAAGAAAAAAATGATGTACATCATCCGGTGCCCCAGCCCATTGTCTCTGAAATAATCAGCTAATGAAAGTAACAAAGTTTGAGGCTCTGAATTACTTCAGTGGTTCTTTTAAATACCCACATCGCTGTGCGTGTGTTAGAAAGCCTCTTGTCTGGAGAATTAAATGCTGACTTTCACTGGTGCTTGCTATTGATTATCATCTTGTGTTACTTGACAAACAGAATTTTGGTACCGTAATATTTTAAGGATTAGAGATCATTGTGGTGCACTTATGAAAATAATGTGTTTTTAAGGTATCTGAATGTTTCAAATATGTACATAAGCCTACCATATGCTGTATCATTTTAGATTATTTTTATGAAAAGGGTTCATTTGGGTAAGTTTTATTCATTATCTAACACTGTGGCCATGCTTGGTGCAATGATGTGATATAATGTCATGAATGTGTACATACATAGAAGCTGTGTAAACCTCTGCCCTTATAAAGCTTATCATGAGTAGCTTTTGGAATTCAGCTATATTGTTTTTTCTTTCAATAAAAAATTATAATTAATTGTTTTGTTTTTAAATTTTTTTTGT